ACACCTATGCTGGACTGCATTTCACTGTGATGGCAGTGTATTGCATTAATAAGTATGGCAAGGTGCACTAGTAATTCTGGTCTAATGAGAAATGTTGTTACTCCACAAATTTTAGGATAGTTGGTGACTTAAAATTGAGACAGAAAATATACATTTTTATGTGCAATGTCACTGAATGTTGACTGCTTTCAGCCCAGCAGCTATTGTAAACAAGTAAGTAAATTTTATTTAAATTGCACTTTTCACAGAGATATTACACAAAGTGCATCACAAGGAGCAAAATTCAAATAAATACAAACAAGCAATATAAGCATAAATGCATACAATAAAACAAMTTAATGCAACTAATAAAACATTAAGTAACATACATTTAGCTAAAAGGTAGTCTGAACTTCAGTGTCTTAACCTGCTTCTCAACAACAGACAACAGAGACACAGAAGCAGTGTGTTCCATAGTCTGGGGGCTCTTGCTTGAAAGGATAGGTCTATTCAAGTCTTAAACCTAGTTTTAGGAACTTTCAGAAGATTTTGACTTTAAGGCCAAAGATTGCAACCAGAAGAAACGGGCATCAACAATTCTGTAATACATGAGTGTCCTGTCCATTTAGAGCTCTAAAAGTCAAGACTAAAATTTTAAAATCAATTCTGAATTTAACAGGTATCCAATGTAAAGATGATAAAACTAATGTGATGTGTGCCCTCCTTTTAAAAGCCTTGCTGCAGTATTTTGAGCCAAATGTAAATGACTGACTGCAGACTTATTAAAACAAATAAAAAGAAAGTTACAAAAGTCTGAACAAGAGAAGATAAATCATGAACAATCATCTTCAGGTCAGATTTAGTTAACATAGCCCTCATTTTAGAGATATTTCTCAAATGTTAGAAACAGTTTCTGACCAAATGTTGTGAATGGCTGTTCAGAGACAATGATGGGTCAAATAAAACACCAAGGTTTCAGAGACTGGACTGGGAAGAGAAGCCTAGAGGACAGAGGTTTTCTTTGATCAACAGAACTTTCTGCTCAGGAGCAATGATCAGTTTCAGTATTACTGGAATTTAATTGAAGACATTTTTTTAGCCAACCAGTCCTTAATACAAGAGACATGTCAGTTAATCAGATGAACTTTGCATTATTGAAAGAGCAGAACAGTTGAGTATCATCTGCATACAAATGGTAATAAACACTTTTAAAACTACTGATAATCTTACCACACCTGATGTATAGAAGGAACAGCTGAGAGAGTATTGTTTATCTCTCATCAGCTGAGAGAGAATTATTTATCAGGGCCAGTTACTGAACCCTTTGAAACACCATGTAAAAGAGGAGACGCAGCAGACATGATCAGTCAAAGTATGGCTTGGGACTGATTATTTGAAGTATTGTAGGGGACGCTGTGGAGTAATTAGGCCACGCCCACCAATTGTTATACCGTATTACTGTTGGGGTCTGGAAAAGAATTGATCATGGGCGATTTGGTGCAGATCGGCTGAAATATGTGGATTTTAGAGCCAAGCGTATTTCAACAGTGTGATGCCTGACTTTGCCACGCCTCCATGTCCGTGCCTTCCAGCCAAAAGTCTTGGTGTTTGAAACCAAGTAAGACCAACTTGTTATCTGTGTTCTGACACAATTTCAATTGATTGGGTCAAGCTGGTCAGAGATGGACCATTCCAAGCAAAAAAAGATCACTTCCTGTCCTCATGGGGCGGGGCTACGATGACCCCCGATGACTAAAACTACCGATAATCTTACCACACTTGATGTATAGAAGGAACAATACTGGGCCAGTTACTGAACCCTGTGAAACACCATGTAACAGAGAAGACGCAGCAGACATGATGCCATTTACAAACATGGAAAAGGATCTGTTGCACAAACAAGAAGATAACAACTGGAAAAACAGTCCCTGAGATACCGATCACAGTTTGCAATCAATGTAATAAAATTTTGTGGTTGGCTCTATAAAAGGCTGAGGACAGATCCAATAAAACCAATACACTGTAATGACCAGAGTCTGTAGCCATCAACATACAGTATCACTGGAATGTTTTAACAAGGCAGTCTCGGTAGAATGCATCTGATGGTAACTAGATTGAAACTCATACAGGAAAGTAGTCAGCTGCCCTGCCAATAACTTCTCCACAATTTCAGCAAGAAAATATAATTTTGATACAGTATTTGTTTATAATTCCTTATTTCAAACCGGTTCATATTTGGCTTTTTCAAAATAGGACAAAAACCTGCTTGTTTGAGAAACTTTGGGACTGACCCCGCTGAGAGAGAATTATTTATCAGTTTAACAACATGTGGACCAACGACATCAAACAGTGACCTGGGGACAAAATCTAGTGGGCAGGAGGTGGGATATCATCAATGTGAATATTAGTCTCCAAGAATTATAACAAAAATAAAAATTCAAAAAAGTCCTCTAAAAATGTGATGAGCAGATTTGGACCAGTTATTRAAAAATTAATGTTTGGCATGTTTAGGCTTGGATATTGAAATCTATAGCCTCAGATGCTTTTGTCATAAGGAGAACTCTCTGCAGGTGTCAAAACAAATCTATAGTTATCTGAAATCAAACAAAATAAAATGAGACAAGTTTGAGACACCCATGATGTAAGTACTTTGAGAGGAAATTTTGTGCAAAAAGTTTGTACATAAAAATCCAAGCCACAAAACTGTGGGTCTTTGTGACTAAGACACATAAACTGACAATCCTGTAAATATTTTAGGACGTTCCAGCGACCTTCTCTTTTCCTCCCCTTGCCAACTAATGGTCACAGCTCAGATAAAAATTTGCTTAAGTTCATATAAATAGCTTTTCTAATTCCCCTTCTCTGAGCCAGCAGATGGGTGGAAAGATTTGAATGTTCTGTCAACGAATGGCTTTTTCTTTTAACAGTCTATATTTTATTGAGACATTTTATTGAAATGCCATWAATAATAATACCAAGATAGTGTCATTGCCACCTGCTGCTATTTTCATATTTTCAGTATAACATATGGCAGTGATTCAGCAGTACAGGTGTGTCATGTGGAAATAGACCATGGYGTCTCATTCATAAAGGATTGCATGGAAACCATAGTAAAAGTGAACGTACGGCCAAAAGGCGCAAATGGTATATGCCCCAAAAAAAATCAGATTTATAAAACCATGCGCATGCACACCTTCAAGCAATTTTCCTTTATAGATCACAGCTGCACCTCAGGGTTTGGGCACAAGATCCCATCTAAGGTTTTGCCCTTTACACGCCCACCCTCATCCATAAACGGTCAATGCAAAGTACCTCATGGATTAATGTCCATGAGGTACTTTGCATTGAGCTTTAATGGTTGTATTTCAATGAGTCAGCTGATCAATGTCACCAAAACTGATTGACCAGCTCAGGCACGGCTGGTCCGGCAGGCTCCGTGGTCCGTTTGGAGGACGGGTGCTGATGACTGCTCACATTAACAGATTGTCTGTAATTTACAGATTTTCACTCATTTAGCAGGTATACAGACATTTAGAGCAATCTCATGGATCTTTTCAAAAACTCAACTTCATTTTTTTCTCAAAGCTTAGGATGCTAAAAAATAATAAATAAAATTGAATAACCCAATCAATGTCCCATTTTCAGCTAGAAATAATTTCACTGCCCCCCTCCCCTTTGCGCTGATATCTGCGTCAGAATGGTTAAGGTATCATTCAAATATTAAATAAATATGTTGATAATTTATAAACCCATTAGATTATGAATTGTTCAAATAAATATATAAATGGCTGAGTATGACAGTTTAAAAAATTTCATGACAACATTGATTGCACAGGAGCCATGAAATAAATGCGCAATGAAATGTATATTATTTTTAAGTTTTTTAAGTTTAACGTTTTTTAAATTAGATTTAATTTAAATGTATTATTTAAAAGATATATTTAATGTATTTACTAATTAATGTCACATTAATTATTTAATGATATGTATAATAATTTAATGATACTTTAAATATTGGGGGATTTACATTTATCTTTGTACTGGCATATTTATTTCATTTTGTCACCCTTTACCTTTCACATGTTGCATGATACATCGTTTTACTATAGACAAGCAAGACATGCATTARTAAGCTTTTGTTATATATTTTTTATATATTTAAAATTGTATTTATTTAATGTTCTCTGTGTCAATTGCATGCTTTGTAATTTTTCTTTGTTAATTAGAACAAGGTTGTGAGATTTTAGAAAGTTTTAAATTTGAATTACTTGTTTATTCACGTTAGTTGGTGCTCACCTCCAGCACTGAAACACAGTTGAAATTGCAAATCATAATTTGTTACTGCCCCTGTCTTTAGGCCTGATGGTATTGGTACAGTGACAGGGGAGGAAAAAGAACGCTTTGAGGAGATCAAGGAAAGGCTACGAGTGCTTCTGGAAAACCAAATTACACACTTCAGGTAGGAATCAGGGGCACAAACCCCAGGTTAAGGTCCAACCAAGGTCATCTACTCAGAATTTAAATTTAAAAAATAACTGTTTTGTTGTTCAATAGATACTGCTTTCCATTTGGACGACCAGAGGGAGCACTAAAGGCAACTCTGTCTTTGCTAGAACGGGTGAGTATGTTGCTTACAACTGTAAACCTGACAATGGCTGTGTCCAAAATCAGAGGATGGTCAACAGTCAAAGGACCTGTCTACGTGGACCAGGTCCTTTGTTGATTGCAAAAATTGGAAGAAAGTAGCTGAAAATTTAAATAATCTATCCTTTAGCTTTATTGTCGTTCCTACACAGGCATATGTCCTGTCACCTAGCAGACATGATGCTAAACGGTGCTAAACAGAATGGTAAATAGACTGTACTTATTTTACCTTCCTATCCAGCCAGGGTACTCAAAGTGTATCACACTACAAGCTGTGTCCTCATTTACCCATTCACACAGCACTCTATTTAATCTCTACAAAATTAACATTTACAAATTATCCTATGAAGACTAATCAGTGCTTTAAAACAGTGTTTCCCAAAGTTGGGGTCGGGACCCAAAGTGGGGTCCTGAAACATCAAGGTGGGGTCCTGAGAAGATTTTCTGAATTAATTACATTTTTGCCGTGGTTGTTACAAAGGAGTGAGGTTAGTATATTTAAAACGGATGAAAGTAGTATTAAAATATTGTTACTGTGCCCATGTTTAGTTGACCTGATACAAATGTTTATCATCCAAAAATAGTTGGGGGCACAGGTCTCTGCTACTGTTATTTTGTTGGTCAAAAGCTGAAAAGTTTGGGAACCAGTGCACTTAGGTTCCCAAAGTTGGGCTTGGGACCCAATTATGGGTCATGAAATACCTTGGATAATCTCCAGAAAGCAATTTAAAGGGTATTAAATAATTGCTGATGTAATATTTTCCCTATAATTATTACAAAAACACAAAATAGGTATAAATAAGTATTTATATTTGTGTACAAGCTGTTTAGATTGTCAAAAAGCCTGGTTTTTAGGGTTATTAACGAAGTTCGTGTACTCAGACCAGTAATATTTGAGGTCACAGGTTTTTGCAATGCATATTTTGTGGGTCAGAAGATAAAAAGTTTGGGAACCACTGCTTTAAATCACATTTATACACTAATGGGACACATCGGAGGCAGTGGGGGTTTAGTGTCTTGCCCAGGGACACTTCAACATAAGATTAAATAGTAGGAAATCGAACCAGCAACTCAATGATTAGAGGACTCCCTTAACCACTCAGCCACATCCACACCCAGAGAAGCAATAAAGATTGAAAATACATTGAAATTAAGCACATATAAATATTATTAAGGCTATAATTTACAAAAGTTAGAGGCCATACATGTAGGACTTAAGACTCCCACACACTCGACCATACTCTGCGCATTCCATGAGCCGTACGGGCTCCATGCACATTGTCCGCGGATTTTTGAGACTTCGTACTCGAGCGTACTGACCGCTGGACAAATTCTTTAATTTCTCGCAATTTCTGTCATGATGTCAAGGATTAGGAGGAAGATATAGTTTGCATTTTAGCTTTAAAACAATAAAAGAAAAAAAAGAAAAGAACTACCTTACCCAGGATCTGAGCTATTTCCACAAATTTGTTGCTCGCTGTAAGTCTTTATATTCCTTCATTGACGCATCATAATGTTTTCTAATCTCCTCCAAGAGACGCTTTTCAAGATTTGACTCCATTTCATCCACAATTGACACAGATTCTCAACTTTTTCAGCTTGGTGTCGCACCCACAACAGTGAGTGAGTGAGTGAGTGAGTGAGTGAGTGAGTGAGTGAGTGAGTGAGTGAGTGAGTGAGTGAGTGAGTGAGTGAGTGAGTGAGTGAGTAAGTAAGTAAGTAAATTTTATTTGTAAAGCACTTTTCTTAGAAATAAATTCACAAAGTGCTGTACAATACAAAAATACATAATACAACAATGCAATAAAAATATCATGGAGCCGTCCAGTATTTCCAATCCAAAAAAGGTGTATCAGCAACAACATTGAGCCAAATGAAAAAAAAAAAGGACAGAAAAAATAAAATCCCAACCCTTTTACATTTACATATTACATTTACAGAAAACTGTAAATCAAGCTTGGACCAAGGCAAGAGAAAACTTCAGCTGCCACAAAAGGCCAAAACTTTAGCCAAAACATCTAACTCAGAGGTGCCCAACCAGTCACTCGCGGGCGACTTTTCGCCCGCCAGCTGACTCCCAGTTGCCCGCGCAGCGTAACCTTGCTGCGGAGCCTCTAGCGCTGGCTTTGAGCATCAGATCTCAGAGTGGCTGGTCTTGTTTGAAAGCTCTAGTTCTGCCCTACAAGGTGAACATTGAATGAAGTCCCTTTGACGTTCCCCCACTGAGATAAAAGTGAAAAACCTCCAAAATTACGCACCGTTGGACCTCCGCCAGGGGTGGTTTTAGCCCCGCTCCCCGGGGATAAGAGCATCGGATCTCAGAATGGCTGGTCAGGTTTTAAAGCTCTGGTTCTGCCCTACAAGCTGATACTTGAATGGAGTCTCTTTGATGTTGCTCCGCAGAGCTATAAGCAAATTACGCACGACTTAGTGCATTTTACATGCATTTTTGGGAGGAAATTTCAACCTTCATTTGCTTCTCCTGCGAGCTCTGAGCACCAGAACCAGGAAAGTGAGATGACTTTGGAAAGTTGCGGTCCTCCTCTACAAACTGGAGGTGGTTGCAAGTTCCTGGGACGTTTCCCCTTGGAGCTATTAACCAACGACCGGCTGAAAAAGGCGCTTTGGCGTGCGATATAGTACTCAATTTACTCCAGAGCCTCTAGCGCCGGATCTGAGCGTCGGATCTGGGCAGGAGATGGCTCATTTTAATGTTTTTTATTATTTATTATATATTTTTTTATTATTTCATTTTAATGTTCTGGATCTTCGCTACAACCTGGAGGTAGTTGCAAGTTCCTGGGACGTTCTCCCACGGAGATATAAGCGATCAAATGTCGTCAGGCGAGCTCCGGCGAGTGAAACGGCTAATTTCCAGCATGGAGCTGCTTATGCTGATGCAGGGGAATAAAAGGAAGAGATCCAATGAGGTGGAACCATGGTCCTACATCCAGCACCCGCTCTCTCGCCTGGATTCAGCCAGAAACCCCTGGCGGGCGATATTTCTGCAAAAATGCACAAAATTCAGAAACCCACCTGATGAATCACTTCCAGGCAATAAAAGGAACAGATTTGATCAGGTGAAACCAGTCCTGGAAGCTCAGCACCAGGTTTTATAGCCGCCTGCCTGCTAAAAAGCCCCCGGGATATATTTCTGCAATAATGCATAAAATTCAGAAACCCACCTGATGGATCTGTTCCAGGCAATAAAAGGAACAGATCTGATCAGGTGAAACCGGTCCTGGAAGCTCAGCACCGGGTTTTAAAGCCGCCCGCAAGAAAAATTTTTATTATGTGCTTTGATTTTGAAAAAAAGGGCAGCACTCTTGTGGTAGCCATGTTGACCCTGATAGATTTTTGTTTTATTTTTTTTCTCCCCTGTATGGAGAAAAGAGTGGGGGGTTCTTTGAATAAATGGAAACAAGTTCCCCTGCTCCAAAGTTATTTGACTCTGTGGTTCTCTCAGAGTGCAGGTTTTCAGCCCTTATAGCTCGCACGTTACAGGGAGTACTAATTGAAGGAGGTAAAAAAATTGATCCTTTTTGTTCAAGCATCACTTTTATGTTTCTCTGTCAGGAGTTAAATAAGGATTTTATCTTTTCTTTTTTGGTAGGTAACTATATGGTTAAGTAGATAGTTTTGTTTGACAATACTTTAAATTAAACAAAACTAGCAACACATTACGTTCTGTTTTATTTACTTTAAAGAAGTGAGGAGTAGGGAGACGAAAAATTATGCTTTTTTGATACTGAGACTGGACGAGTAGCTCGGCAAACTACCGACTTCAAAAGTAGCTCTTAGTTCAAAAAAAGTTTGTTTGAAATAAAAGGTTTTCAAGCCCTTTTTGAGTAATCTGACATCATTGATGGAACGTAACTCAAAGGGAAGGGCATTCCAGWAGCTAGGGGCTGAAAACAAAAAAGCCGGTCGCCACGGGTCCTATAGCGTGTTCAAGGAACGGCTAATAGATTTTGATCCTGAGAGCACAAGCAGAGGACTGGATCGTACGTGGAGAATATGTCCCTAACATGGGCAGGTGTCTGGCCTCTTAGGGCTCGAAATGTAAGAACCAGGATTTTAAACCGAATCCTAAAATAAACAGGTAGCCAATGAAGTTCTGATAGGATTGGAATGATATGACTAGATTTAGATGTACGAGTTAAAAGTCTAGTTGCAGAATTCTGAACAAGTTGGAGACGATGTAGTTGCTTTTGATTGACATAAACAGGCTGTCACAATAATCCAGGCGGCTCGAAACGAAAGCATATACGACCATTTCCAGATCGGAGGCAGACATCATAGACCAAAGTTTAGAAATGTTACGCAGGTGGAAAAAACATGTAGACACTAAATTTTTAATGTTTTTTCAGAGACAGGTCCGAGTCAAATATAACACCCAGATTACGAAGACTCTGATAGACAGCTGAACACAGAGAGCCCAAGCGCTCCTTAACTTTAGGGATCTTTTTTTCAAGGGCCAGAATTATCACCTCTGTCTTGTCCAAATTAAGCAGCAGCATGTTTTCTGACAGCCAGCTCTTTACCTTGGTGACATAGTCCACCAGAAACTTGTAGGAGGTGGAATCATTAAAAGAGCAGTATAACTGCAAGTCATCTGCATAGAAGTGATGGGATACATCACAGAATTTATTTATAATCTGACTCAGAGGATGGATGTACAACAAAAATAAAATAGGTCCCAAAATTGAACCTGTGGCTCTCCACAGGTAAAGGGAGCTATGTCAGAATATGTCTGACCTAATAAAACAGAAAAAGAATGATCTGAGAGATAAGATTCAAACCGGTCTAACACGACACCACCAAGGCCCAAATCTTTGTTTCCTTAACAAAATGGCATGGTCCACAGTGTCAAAAGCCGAGGATAGATCTAGTAAAATCAGAACAGAGTGCATGCCCCCGTTTGCAGACATTAACAGGTTGTTGGACAACCGAAGAAGAGCCGTCTCAGTGGAA